GGGGGGGGGGGCTTTAATGTCACTATAAATATCACAGTGCAGCGCATGGTTATAGGGTACAGCTCGCTTTGGCTGGGTGCGTTGGGGTGTCATTAAGAAATAATGGTGCCGCGGTGCACCTAACATTGCACCATGTGACGTGGGATCACCTGCACTCCCACAATGCAGAGATGTGAACAGCACGGGGCTGATTTATAAATCTTCCACCCAGCTGTGACATTGGCGGGTTGTAGTTTGATGTTTCTCGTTCTCTTCTCCCCATCCAGATTCCTCACACTGTGCTTCTCTGATGGCTCTCTTCACGAAGGCGTGGGAGTCCGTGGGCTTCCTCCAGTCAGTGAACTCGGTGGTCCTGGGACTCGTCGCTCAGATCAATGAGACGGCCACCGCCGATGAAATAGAGTTCGTCAGGAAGACCCTGGAATCCCTGGACCGGCAGCTGGCTGCAGGGAAGGGGTTGATGAGAGACTCTGATGTCACCAAGTGTGAAGATGGCATCACGGTGGTGTACCAGCAGCTGGCCACGGTGGTGCGGGCCGGGAAGCCGTACAAAGACAAAGAGAAGGAGGTCTTCCTTCAATACGTGACCGACTACAAGATTGACCGCCAGCTCAACGCCCTCTATAACCGCCTGCTGGGCATCTCCGTGCTGGCAGAGCAGGTGACCCTCCTACAGCAGGTGATTCGGGACAACCACCCACGTCGCTGGCAGATGATCGCCTTCTGCCAACAGGTCAACTTCGTCCTGGCCACGGGTCTCCTGTGCCTTTTCGTCCACGGTTCCTTGACCGGTCGGGATACCCAACTCATGATGGGCAGATGGACAGACAAGATGGCCGTTCTTTATAAGAGGATGGAGGACACCTCCAGAGACTGCGCCTCCTACTTCAAGACACAAGCCCAAGAAGACGTGGAGAAGTTCCTGCCACTGAACGAGGACTTGTCTGATGAGGAGAAAGCCAGCGCCCTCCTCAAGCAGATGGAGAAGAATTATGACTGGCTACGCTGGGCGGTGATGGTCTCCCACTCGCAGACTGATAAAGCCGGTGGGGTCCTGGTCCACGGGAACTACATCTCTGTGAGGGGGGAATGCGGCACACAAGTCGTCCTGAGCTACAGCGAGAACCCTGTCTCTCTAGACAAGGGGAAGATCAACCATCTCATCGGGGAACTGGAATGGAAACTCCCCAACCCGCCGCCCGACGTCTACGCCAACATTGAGGCCGATCCCGGCTACGCCAAGCAGTACCTCGCCCAGCGCATGCTGAAGAAACTGACCACCGGGCTGGACAAGGGAGTTACCATTCACACGGTGCCGGGGAAGCTGGATATGGCGGGAAATTTCCCCCAAGCCTCCTACGTCCTCTATGAGTATAAACACCGCATGGCCACCGGCACCGTGTGTATCTTCGGCTGAACCATGTGACGTAAATCCGCCCAGGTTCAGGTTCGGTTGGTACGTTGATGCTCTGACTGGACTTTTCTATCAGCAAGTGAGATCTGTTTGTGTGTGTACAGGACAGGAAGTGAAGGGAAATCCCCCCAATACGAGTCCGCATAGCCCAATATTTGCCTTATATTGTAGAACCAAACTAAAAAAAGACATTTTAGCTTTAGATACTCCAATCTGACCTCCGGCCTTCCCTTCGGTCTCCTCTCCTGGGCTGAAATGGCTTCCTCTGATATCACTGCACACTGGGAGCTCCTCACCATGTGCATTAGAAGCTGCAGCAAGTCAAATAGTCTGTCTTGCTGACTGTCCCTGGCCCCGCCCCTTTCATTCATTGGCTTTCAGTCCTTTCAATCATAGAAGCTCAGCATCACATGTGGGCGTTATCTAAGCATATACAGCCTGCCTAGAAACGCCCACTCCTCCAGACTGGCACCCACCCACTGGCATTTGCATAACTCCTCCCAAGAGCCAGCCCACTGCTTGCATCAGGGCTGAGGGCTCCTGAGAAGAGTGCTGAGGCAGGGTGCTGTGATGTTTTTGGGAAGCCATGTACAGGGAATGCAAAATATAAGCAGATTAAACTTCATCTTTAAACCTTTATTTTTTATGGCCGAAATGAAAAACAAAATAACGTCGGGGTTTAGATATATTGCTTGTGTGCAGACTTATAGATGGAAGGATTAGGGGCAGATAATCCGGGATGCCCATAGACCGTGGCCCTGTATGGCCAACTAGAGCACTCATATTCTGGAATATTCCGGATGTCCCGTTTTCACATTCTGTATCTGTCCTGCACCATTAGGCCCTGTGTGATGTCATCCAATGGAACCGATGCACGGCTGTAGATCGTTATGTATTGTGTGTGTGCGTGTGTGTGTGTAACCATCCAATAAAACTTGCATACAAATCTTTCCATGATCTTTCATTGTGTTGTGACAGAGCTGTCCACCTCTAGCCCCCGAGGTAGGGTTGCCACCTGTCCAGGATTCACCCGGACAGTCCGGGTTTTGAATGCTCTGTTCGGGTTTCATGGCAGCAGAAACCTGGACACAAGATGTCAGACAGACAGGGGCAACCAAAATGAAGATAGGGGCTACTGGTCCCCCCACTGAAAATAGTCTCAACTGTGATATTTACATATGAATGGGCGGCAATTTTTATATATGAATAAGCCGCGACTCATTCTCCCGAAAAAATGTCCATGCGTCGATTGAGTGTTCGGGTTTCGCTTGAAGAAAAGGGGGACCCTACCCCGAGGGCCAACATACAGTCAGATCAGGATACAGACTGCCTCAGGTATCCTTTTACTGCATCTCAGCTACAATACAGCCAGTGCCAATGTCTAGTTTTATTGATTATGGGGAACAGACACAAAAGTTCCTAGATGATACCCTCAGGTATGGACATTTACACAAGGCTCAGTCTACCGATGAGCTGTAATATTACGATTTCTTAAGGGACCGTAATATACAGGGGTACGGGTACTCCTAGAATGAGATCCTAATAGGTTGGACTTGATGGACTAATGTCTTTATTCAACCTCAAATACTATGTAGCTATGTATGTAATATTGGATTATGGCCACTAGATGGCGCTAAAAGACCATAGGAAATGAGTAATCATTGTATGTGTCCCTCACCGCCATCTAGTGGCCACACTGCAATATTACATTTAGAAAAAACAAAACACATTGGCTGGTAAAGAAACAATTTAAAGACCCTTTCTCAGCCAGGGTGTGGTGGCACATTGGGGTGACTCCTGGCCTCCTCAGGGGTGCCTCAGAATGTTGTGGTAGTGGGATTGTGATGTGAAGGGGGGAATGAAGACTAAGGCAAACGGGGACTCTGATGTGAAAGGGGAACTCTGATATGAAAGGGGGGATTCTGATATGGAAGTGGGGACTCTGATGTGAAGTTGGGACTCTGATGTGAAAGAGGGACTCTGATGTGAAGGGGGGCTACTGGTGTGAAGGGGGGGGGGTCTTGATTTGAAGGTGGCACTTCAATGTGATGGGGGAAACCCACTTTTTTGGGGGTGTTTTTGCACAGGGGTCCCCCTTAGGGTTAGCAGGTGGAGGAGACTGAGGTAATGTCTTTCCTGCCTGCAGCAGACTTCCAGTAAAAAGTGGACAGTGCTTCTAGATTTCCCCCCAGACTACAATGTATTGTATTGCTGCCTTTGTCCGTCGCAGATTCTCCCTCACTTCCAGTCTAGGCCGTGGTCTCCAGGACAGGAAGTGAGGGGAAATCTCTTCAGTGGAGCCACAAAAGGGGTTATTATGTTGGTTTTGGTTGGATTTCAATCTATTTCTGTCTGTTTCGGCAAAGCAGTAAAGGGAGGAAGGAAGGGAGGGAGAGAGGAAGGAAGGGAGGGAGGGAGAGAGGAAGGAAGGGAGGGAGAGAGGAAGGAAGGGAGGGAGGGAGAGAGGAAGGAAGGGAGGGAGGGAGAGGAAGGAAGGGAGGGAGGGAGGAAGGAAGGGAGGGAGGGAGAGGAAGGAAGGGAGGGAGAGAGGAAGGGAGAGAGGAAGGGAGGGAGAGAGGAAGGGAGAGAGGAAGGGAGAGAGGGAGGGAGGGAGGGAGAGAGGAAGGAAGGATGGAAGGGAGGGAGGGAGAAAGTGAGGGAGGAAGGATGGGAGGGGGGCGTTGGGGGTCATTTGGAAAGTTTCTAGTTCTTCCTCTTTTCTTATTTCCTGTTCCCATAGGCAGAGGTTCTCTGGTCTCCGTGTTCTCTATGGATCATGTACAGCGCACACATCACATTGTTGTCACCTTATTACAGGAGGATTATAGTTTTTTTCTGGCACTTTGCAGTAAAATAAATTCTATGGACGATATTCTTCTTATTATTGTTTCCATTTTATTAGACATTTCTAGAAATAAAACTACAATCGGATATTTGGGAATATTTCCGTTAAATAGCTCTCTATGTTCTCTGTGTCGGGTGATGTGGGCTCCTCGCTCTCCTCTAGCATGTGATGGGTGATGTGGGCTCCTCGCTCTCCTCTAGCATGTGATGGGTGATGTGGGCTCCTCGCTCTCCTCTAGCATGTGATGGGTGATGTGGGCTCCTCGCTCTCCTCTAGCATGTGATGGGTGATGTGGGCTCCTCGCTCTCCTCTAGCATGTGATGGGTGATGTGGGCTCCTCGCTCTTCTCTAGCATGTGATGGGTCATTTGGGCTCCTCGCTCTCCTCTAGCATGTGATGGGTGATGTGGGCTCCTCGCTCTCCTCTAGCATGTGTTGGGTTATGTGGGCTCCTCGCTCTCCTCTAGCATGTGATGGGTGATGTGGGCTCCTCGCTCTCCTCTAGCATGTGATGGGTCATTTGGGCTCCTCGCTCTCCTCTAGCATGTGATGGGTGATGTGGGCTCCTCGCTCTTCTCTAGCATGTGATGGGTCATTTGGGCTCCTCGCTCTCCTCTAGCATGTGATGGGTGATGTGGGCTCCTCGCTCTCCTCTAGCATGTGTTGGGTTATGTGGGCTCCTCGCTCTCCTCTAGCATGTGTTGGGTTATGTGGGCTCTTCGCTCTCCTCTACCATGTGTCGGGTGGTGTGCACTCCTCATTCTTCTCTAGCAGTCCATGAAGGTGGAGGCGATGTTCCCAGCAGCAGGGGCCTCAGTGGCAGCCAGCAGCTCCATGGCATCCTTGTAATGGTAATAGGAAATTCCATGGAAGAGGTAGAGGCCATGAGCATTACACATCGCGCTGTCCACCTCCGAGTGAATGATGGTTCTGGCCTCTCCAGACTGCTGCCGAGTGATCAGGTCCACCAAGAACATTCTATTACCTGGAGAAAAGAAAATGTGAGATCCCACATCAAGCCTGTCCATCATTATCAATGACCAGATCCTTCCTGGATCACCTCCAGTGATGGGATTACTACCAGTCTGCATCAATCAATACACCCTTACTGGATCACTACGAGTCCTCATCAATGGTTAGATCATTTCGGATGACCAAGAGTCACCATCGATGACCAGATCCTAACTGAATCCATGGGAGACCGGATCCTTAGAATATAATTGACAGTCTCCAGAGATTTCTGTATATTTACCAGATCACTGAGAGTCCTCATCAATGACTGGAGCCTCAGAGGACCACCAAGAGTCACTATCAATGGCCAGATCCTAACTGGATCACTGAGATGCCCATCGGTAACTAGATCCTCTCTAGATCAATAAGAGTCCCCACCAGTGACCAGGTCTTTACCAGATAAAGAGTCCTAACTAATGATCAGATCCTTACTAGATCACCAAGATTGGGCCCAGCAGAGGAACGCTCTGGCAATGAGAGTATTCCTGAATAAGCAATTATGGGCGGTGGGCATACTGGCAGTCCCAGCTGATTTTAGGGCAACCAACCATTGCTGCAAATTAGAATCTTACTGGATTATTTTTAGTTCCCATAAACTATTAGATCCTTACTGGATCACCACGGGTCCCTATCAACCACTAGATCCTTGACAGATCACTATTAGTCTCCATCAATGAATAGATCCATACTGAATCACTAAGAGTCACCATCTATGACCAGATGCTTACTGGATTACTAAGAGCCACCATCAATGACCAGATCCTTACTGGATCACTAAGAGCCACCATCAATGACCCGATCCTTACTGGATCACTAAGAGCCACCATCATTGACCAGATCCTTACTGGATCACTAAGAGCCACCATCAATGACCCGATCCTTACTGGATCACTAAGAGCCACCATCATTGACCAGATCCTTACTGGATCACTAAGAGCCACCATCAATGACCCGATCCTTACTGGATCACTAAGAGTCACCATCAATGGCCAAATCCTTGCTGGATCACTAAGAGCCACCATCAATGACCAGATCCTTACTGGATCACTAAGAGCCACCATCAATGACCAGATCCTTACTGGATCACTAAGAGCCACCATCAATGACCCGATCCTTACTGGATCACTAAGAGTCACCATCAATGGCCAAATCCTTGCTGGATCACTAAGAGCCACCATCAATGACCAGATCCTTACTGGATTACTAAGAGCCACCATCAATGACCAGATCCTTACTGGATCACTAAGAGCCACCATCAATGACCAGATCCTTACTGGATCACTAAGAGCCACCATCAATGACCAGATCCTTACTGGATCACTAAGAGCCACCATCAATGACCAAATCCTTACTGGATCACTAAGAGCCACCATCAATGACCAGATCCTTACTGGATCACTAAGAGCCACCATCAATGACCAGATCCTTACTGGATCACTAAGAGCCACCATCAATGACCAGATCCTTACTGGATCACTAAGAGCCACCATCAATGACCAGATCCTTACTGGATCACTAAGAGCCACCATCAATGACCAGATCCTTACTGGATCACTAAGAGCCACCATCAATGACCAGATCCTTACTGGATCACTAAGAGCCACCATCAATGACCAGATCCTTACTGGATCACTAAGAGCCACCATCAATGACCAGATCCTTACTGGATCACTAAGAGCCACCATCAATGACCAGATCCTTACTGGATCACTAAGAGCCACCATCAATGACCAGATCCTTACTGGATCACTAAGAGCCACCATCAATGACCAGATCCTTACTGGATCACTAAGAGCCACCATCAATGACCAGATCCTTACTGGATCACTAAGAGCCACCATCAATGACCAGATCCTTACTGGATCACTAAGAGCCACCATCAATGACCAGATCCTTACTGGATCACTAAGAGCCACCATCAATGACCCGATCCTTACTGGATCACTAAGAGTCACCATCAATGGCCAAATCCTTGCTGGATCACTAAGAGCCACCATCAATGACCAGATCCTTACTGGATCACTAAGAGCCACCATCAATGACCAGATCCTTACTGGATCACTAAGAGCCACCATCAATGACCCGATCCTTACTGGATCACTAAGAGTCACCATCAATGGCCAAATCCTTGCTGGATCACTAAGAGCCACCATCAATGACGAGACCCTCGCAATATCACTGAGAGTCTCCAGAAATGCTGCATCTTTACTAGATCACTGAGATCAATGACTAGAGTTTTAGAGGATCGCTTAGAGTTCCTATCAATGACCTGACCCTTACATGATTACTGAGGGTCTCCATCGATAACTAGATCCTTACTAGGTCAATAAGAGTCCCCATCGGTTAGCAGATCCTAACTAGATCACTCGGGGTCCTCGTCAGTGAATAGATCCTTACAAGAATACTAAGGGATCTACTTATAAACAATTTTTAGGGCCGTTCACTTGTTTTGAGTGAATATAAGCCACAACAAATGCTCTTTTGGCTCTTCCTGCCCAGTGTTCAGCATGAGACACCGACCTCTAATGATGTACAGGTCACTGGAATGGGGGCAGGTGAAGGCGGCGTCCACTGCTGTGACCCCGGGGACCTGCCACTCCTCCTGGATGGGCTTTGGATAGCCGGCGATCGGGATGTAGATCTGATCAGTTGAGTAAATGCTCACTTGTGGCCCCTAGGGGAGAGGGAAGACAAGAGCAGGAGGTCACATGACAAGCTGAGCACAAGAACCTGCAGGTTAAAGCTTCCTACCTATAGCGGGCAGATGACCCGACATGAAGAACCTTGGAGGTGGAAGAAGTAGAATGTTGTAATGTGTTAGCTATGAGTAGATGCAGAAGGTGATACTGATAATAACCCTTTCACTGATGTATAGCTGCTACAATGGAGGCAGTTTCAGCATCAGGCTGACACATCATCATCACTGTACATGGTCCTTCTGCCTGGGTGACTGGCTGGTCCTTCTTCCTGGGTGACTGGCTGGTCCTTCTGCCTGGGTGACTGGCTGGTCCTTCTTCCTGGGTGACTGGCTGGTCCTTCTTCCTGGGTGACTGGCTGGTCCTTCTTCCTGGGTGACTGGCCGGTCCTTCTTCCTGGGTGACTGGCTGGTCCTTCTTCCTGGGTGACTGGCCGGTCCTTCTTCCTGGATGACTGGCTGGTCCTTCTTCCTGGCTGACTGGCCGGTCCTTCTTCCTGGCCGGTCCTTCTTCCTGGGTGACTGGCCGGTCCTTCTTCCTGGGTGACTGGCCGGTCCTTCTTCCTGGGTGACTGGCCGGTCCTTCTTCCTGGGTGACTGGCCGGTCCTTCTTCCTGGGTGACTGGCCGGTCCTTCTTCCTGGGTGACTGGCCGGTCCTTCTTCCTGGGTGACTGGCTGGTCCTTCTTCCTGGGTGACTGGCCGGTCCTTCTTCCTGGGTGACTGGCCGGTCCTTCTTCCTGGGTGACTGGCCGGTCCTTCTTCCTGGGTGACTGGCCGGTCCTTCTTCCTGGGTGACTGGCCGGTCCTTCTTCCTGGGTGACTGGCCGGTCCTTCTTCCTGGGTGACTGGCCGGTCCTTCTTCCTGGGTGACTGGCCGGTCCTTCTTCCTGGGTGACTGGCCGGTCCTTCTTCCTGGGTGACTGGCCGGTCCTTCTTCCTGGGTGACTGGCCGGTCCTTCTTCCTGGGTGACTGGCCGGTCCTTCTTCCTGGGTGACTGGCCGGTCCTTCTTCCTGGGTGACTGGCCGGTCCTTCTTCCTGGGTGACTGGCCGGTCCTTCTTCCTGGGTGACTGGCCGGTCCTTCTTCCTGGGTGACTGGCCGGTCCTTCTTCCTGGGTGACTGGCCGGTCCTTCTTCCTGGGTGACTGGCCGGTCCTTCTTCCTGGGTGACTGGCCGGTCCTTCTTCCTGGGTGACTGGCCGGTCCTTCTTCCTGGGTGACTGGCCGGTCCTTCTTCCTGGGTGACTGGCCGGTCCTTCTTCCTGGGTGACTGGCCGGTCCTTCTTCCTGGGTGACTGGCCGGTCCTTCTTCCTGGGTGACTGGCCGGTCCTTCTTCCTGGGTGACTGGCCGGTCCTTCTTCCTGGGTGACTGGCCGGTCCTTCTTCCTGGGTGACTGGCCGGTCCTTCTTCCTGGGTGACTGGCCGGTCCTTCTTCCTGGGTGACTGGCCGGTCCTTCTTCCTGGGTGACTGGCCGGTCCTTCTTCCTGGGTGACTGGCCGGTCCTTCTTCCTGGGTGACTGGCCGGTCCTTCTTCCTGGGTGACTGGCCGGTCCTTCTTCCTGGGTGACTGGCCGGTCCTTCTTCCTGGGTGACTGGCCGGTCCTTCTTCCTGGGTGACTGGCCGGTCCTTCTTCCTGGGTGACTGGCCGGTCCTTCTTCCTGGGTGACTGGCCGGTCCTTCTTCCTGGGTGACTGGCCGGTCCTTCTTCCTGGGTGACTGGCCGGTCCTTCTTCCTGGGTGACTGGCCGGTCCTTCTTCCTGGGTGACTGGCCGGTCCTTCTTCCTGGGTGACTGGCCGGTCCTTCTTCCTGGGTGACTGGCCGGTCCTTCTTCCTGGGTGACTGGCCGGTCCTTCTTCCTGGGTGACTGGCCGGTCCTTCTTCCTGGGTGACTGGCCGGTCCTTCTTCCTGGGTGACTGGCCGGTCCTTCTTCCTGGGTGACTGGCCGGTCCTTCTTCCTGGGTGACTGGCCGGTCCTTCTTCCTGGGTGACTGGCCGGTCCTTCTTCCTGGGTGACTGGCCGGTCCTTCTTCCTGGGTGACTGGCCGGTCCTTCTTCCTGGGTGACTGGCCGGTCCTTCTTCCTGGGTGACTGGCCGGTCCTTCTTCCTGGGTGACTGGCCGGTCCTTCTTCCTGGGTGACTGGCCGGTCCTTCTTCCTGGGTGACTGGCCGGTCCTTCTTCCTGGGTGACTGGCCGGTCCTTCTTCCTGGGTGACTGGCCGGTCCTTCTTCCTGGGTGACTGGCCGGTCCTTCTTCCTGGGTGACTGGCCGGTCCTTCTTCCTGGGTGACTGGCCGGTCCTTCTTCCTGGGTGACTGGCCGGTCCTTCTTCCTGGGTGACTGGCCGGTCCTTCTTCCTGGGTGACTGGCCGGTCCTTCTTCCTGGGTGACTGGCCGGTCCTTCTTCCTGGGTGACTGGCCGGTCCTTCTTCCTGGGTGACTGGCCGGTCCTTCTTCCTGGGTGACTGGCCGGTCCTTCTTCCTGGGTGACTGGCCGGTCCTTCTTCCTGGGTGACTGGCCGGTCCTTCTTCCTGGGTGACTGGCCGGTCCTTCTTCCTGGGTGACTGGCCGGTCCTTCTTCCTGGGTGACTGGCCGGTCCTTCTTCCTGGGTGACTGGCCGGTCCTTCTTCCTGGGTGACTGGCCGGTCCTTCTTCCTGGGTGACTGGCCGGTCCTTCTTCCTGGGTGACTGGCCGGTCCTTCTTCCTGGGTGACTGGCCGGTCCTTCTTCCTGGGTGACTGGCCGGTCCTTCTTCCTGGGTGACTGGCCGGTCCTTCTTCCTGGGTGACTGGCCGGTCCTTCTTCCTGGGTGACTGGCCGGTCCTTCTTCCTGGGTGACTGGCCGGTCCTTCTTCCTGGGTGACTGGCCGGTCCTTCTTCCTGGGTGACTGGCCGGTCCTTCTTCCTGGGTGACTGGCCGGTCCTTCTTCCTGGGTGACTGGCCGGTCCTTCTTCCTGGGTGACTGGCCGGTCCTTCTTCCTGGGTGACTGGCCGGTCCTTCTTCCTGGGTGACTGGCCGGTCCTTCTTCCTGGGTGACTGGCCGGTCCTTCTTCCTGGGTGACTGGCCGGTCCTTCTTCCTGGCCGGTCCTTCTTCCTGGGTGACTGGCCGGTTTTTCTTCCTGGGTGACTGGCTGGTCCTTCTTCCTGGGTGACTGGCCGGTCCTTCTTCCTGGGGGACTGGCCGGTCCTTCTTCCTGGGGGACTGGCCGGTCCTTCTTCCTGGGGGACTGGCCGGTCCTTCTTCCTGGGGGACTGGCCGGTCCTTCTTCCTGGGGGACTGGCCGGTCCTTCTTCCTGGGGGACTGGCCGGTCCTTCTTCCTGGGGGACTGGCCGGTCCTTCTTCCTGGGGGACTGGCCGGTCCTTCTTCCTGGGGGACTGGCCGGTCCTTCTTCCTGGGGGACTGGCCGGTCCTTCTTCCTGGGGGACTGGCCGGTCCTTCTTCCTGGGGGACTGGCCGGTCCTTCTTCCTGGGGGACTGGCCGGTCCTTCTTCCTGGGGGACTGGCCGGTCCTTCTTCCTGGGGGACTGGCCGGTCCTTCTTCCTGGGGGACTGGCCGGTCCTTCTTCCTGGGGGACTGGCCGGTCCTTCTTCCTGGGGGACTGGCCGGTCCTTCTTCCTGGGGGACTGGCCGGTCCTTCTTCCTGGGGGACTGGCCGGTCCTTCTTCCTGGGGGACTGGCCGGTCCTTCTTCCTGGGGGACTGGCCGGTCCTTCTTCCTGGGGGACTGGCCGGTCCTTCTTCCTGGGGGACTGGCCGGTCCTTCTTCCTGGGGGACTGGCCGGTCCTTCTTCCTGGGGGACTGGCCGGTCCTTCTTCCTGGGGGACTGGCCGGTCCTTCTTCCTGGGGGACTGGCCGGTCCTTCTTCCTGGGGGACTGGCCGGTCCTTCTTCCTGGGGGACTGGCCGGTCCTTCTTCCTGGGGGACTGGCCGGTCCTTCTTCCTGGGGGACTGGCCGGTCCTTCTTCCTGGGGGACTGGCCGGTCCTTCTTCCTGGGGGACTGGCCGGTCCTTCTTCCTGGGGGACTGGCCGGTCCTTCTTCCTGGGGGACTGGCCGGTCCTTCTTCCTGGGGGACTGGCCGGTCCTTCTTCCTGGGGGACTGGCCGGTCCTTCTTCCTGGGGGACTGGCCGGTCCTTCTTCCTGGGGGACTGGCCGGTCCTTCTTCCTGGGGGACTGGCCGGTCCTTCTTCCTGGGGGACTGGCCGGTCCTTCTTCCTGGGGGACTGGCCGGTCCTTCTTCCTGGGGGACTGGCCGGTCCTTCTTCCTGGGGGACTGGCCGGTCCTTCTTCCTGGGGGACTGGCCGGTCCTTCTTCCTGGGGGACTGGCCGGTCCTTCTTCCTGGGGGACTGGCCGGTCCTTCTTCCTGGGGGACTGGCCGGTCCTTCTTCCTGGGGGACTGGCCGGTCCTTCTTCCTGGGGGACTGGCCGGTCCTTCTTCCTGGGGGACTGGCCGGTCCTTCTTCCTGGGGGACTGGCCGGTCCTTCTTCCTGGGGGACTGGCCGGTCCTTCTTCCTGGGGGACTGGCCGGTCCTTCTTCCTGGGGGACTGGCCGGTCCTTCTTCCTGGGGGACTGGCCGGTCCTTCTTCCTGGGGGACTGGCCGGTCCTTCTTCCTGGGGGACTGGCCGGTCCTTCTTCCTGGGGGACTGGCCGGTCCTTCTTCCTGGGGGACTGGCCGGTCCTTCTTCCTGGGGGACTGGCCGGTCCTTCTTCCTGGGGGACTGGCCGGTCCTTCTTCCTGGGGGACTGGCCGGTCCTTCTTCCTGGGGGACTGGCCGGTCCTTCTTCCTGGGGGACTGGCCGGTCCTTCTTCCTGGGGGACTGGCCGGTCCTTCTTCCTGGGGGACTGGCCGGTCCTTCTTCCTGGGGGACTGGCCGGTCCTTCTTCCTGGGGGACTGGCCGGTCCTTCTTCCTGGGGGACTGGCCGGTCCTTCTTCCTGGGGGACTGGCCGGTCCTTCTTCCTGGGGGACTGGCCGGTCCTTCTTCCTGGGGGACTGGCCGGTCCTTCTTCCTGGGGGACTGGCCGGTCCTTCTTCCTGGGGGACTGGCCGGTCCTTCTTCCTGGGGGACTGGCCGGTCCTTCTTCCTGGGGGACTGGCCGGTCCTTCTTCCTGGGGGACTGGCCGGTCCTTCTTCCTGGGGGACTGGCCGGTCCTTCTTCCTGGGGGACTGGCCGGTCCTTCTTCCTGGGGGACTGGCCGGTCCTTCTTCCTGGGGGACTGGCCGGTCCTTCTTCCTGGGGGACTGGCCGGTCCTTCTTCCTGGGGGACTGGCCGGTCCTTCTTCCTGGGGGACTGGCCGGTCCTTCTTCCTGGGGGACTGGCCGGTCCTTCTTCCTGGGGGACTGGCCGGTCCTTCTTCCTGGGGGACTGGCCGGTCCTTCTTCCTGGGGGACTGGCCGGTCCTTCTTCCTGGGGGACTGGCCGGTCCTTCTTCCTGGGGGACTGGCCGGTCCTTCTTCCTGGGGGACTGGCCGGTCCTTCTTCCTGGGGGACTGGCCGGTCCTTCTTCCTGGGGGACTGGCCGGTCCTTCTTCCTGGGGGACTGGCCGGTCCTTCTTCCTGGGGGACTGGCCGGTCCTTCTTCCTGGGGGACTGGCCGGTCCTTCTTCCTGGGGGACTGGCCGGTCCTTCTTCCTGGGGGACTGGCCGGTCCTTCTTCCTGGGGGACTGGCCGGTCCTTCTTCCTGGGGGACTGGCCGGTCCTTCTTCCTGGGGGACTGGCCGGTCCTTCTTCCTGGGGGACTGGCCGGTCCTTCTTCCTGGGGGACTGGCCGGTCCTTCTTCCTGGGGGACTGGCCGGTCCTTCTTCCTGGGGGACTGGCCGGTCCTTCTTCCTGGGGGACTGGCCGGTCCTTCTTCCTGGGGGACTGGCCGGTCCTTCTTCCTGGGGGACTGGCCGGTCCTTCTTCCTGGGGGACTGGCCGGTCCTTCTTCCTGGGGGACTGGCCGGTCCTTCTTCCTGGGGGACTGGCCGGTCCTTCTTCCTGGGGGACTGGCCGGTCCTTCTTCCTGGGGGACTGGCCGGTCCTTCTTCCTGGGGGACTGGCCGGTCCTTCTTCCTGGGGGACTGGCCGGTCCTTCTTCCTGGGGGACTGGCCGGTCCTTCTTCCTGGGGGACTGGCCGGTCCTTCTTCCTGGGGGACTGGCCGGTCCTTCTTCCTGGGGGACTGGCCGGTCCTTCTTCCTGGGGGACTGGCCGGTCCTTCTTCCTGGGGGACTGGCCGGTCCTTCTTCCTGGGGGACTGGCCGGTCCTTCTTCCTGGGGGACTGGCCGGTCCTTCTTCCTGGGGGACTGGCCGGTCCTTCTTCCTGGGGGACTGGCCGGTCCTTCTTCCTGGGGGACTGGCCGGTCCTTCTTCCTGGGGGACTGGCCGGTCCTTCTTCCTGGGGGACTGGCCGGTCCTTCTTCCTGGGGGACTGGCCGGTCCTTCTTCCTGGGGGACTGGCCGGTCCTTCTTCCTGGGGGACTGGCCGGTCCTTCTTCCTGGGGGACTGGCCGGTCCTTCTTCCTGGGGGACTGGCCGGTCCTTCTTCCTGGGGGACTGGCCGGTCCTTCTTCCTGGGGGACTGGCCGGTCCTTCTTCCTGGGGGACTGGCCGGTCCTTCTTCCTGGGGGACTGGCCGGTCCTTCTTCCTGGGGGACTGGCCGGTCCTTCTTCCTGGGGGACTGGCCGGTCCTTCTTCCTGGGGGACTGGCCGGTCCTTCTTCCTGGGGGACTGGCCGGTCCTTCTTCCTGGGGGACTGGCCGGTCCTTCTTCCTGGGGGACTGGCCGGTCCTTCTTCCTGGGGGACTGGCCGGTCCTTCTTCCTGGGGGACTGGCCGGTCCTTCTTCCTGGGGGACTGGCCGGTCCTTCTTCCTGGGGGACTGGCCGGTCCTTCTTCCTGGGGGACTGGCCGGTCCTTCTTCCTGGGGGACTGGCCGGTCCTTCTTCCTGGGGGACTGGCCGGTCCTTCTTCCTGGGGGACTGGCCGGTCCTTCTTCCTGGGGGACTGGCCGGTCCTTCTTCCTGGGGGACTGGCCGGTCCTTCTTCCTGGGGGACTGGCCGGTCCTTCTTCCTGGGGGACTGGCCGGTCCTTCTTCCTGGGGGACTGGCCGGTCCTTCTTCCTGGGGGACTGGCCGGTCCTTCTTCCTGGGGGACTGGCCGGTCCTTCTTCCTGGGGGACTGGCCGGTCCTTCTTCCTGGGGGACTGGCCGGTCCTTCTTCCTGGGGGACTGGCCGGTCCTTCTTCCTGGGGGACTGGCCGGTCCTTCTTCCTGGGGGACTGGCCGGTCCTTCTTCCTGGGTGACTGGCTGGTCCTTCTACAATAAAACCTTCAGGTGGGGATGGACGCTGGCCAAACGGCTCACAGGAATCTCTATGCTCGGGGCGCCTGTGATGGGCATTTGAAGTGGACTGTTTTTATGCACAGGGCACCACTGGAGACCTAAACACAATCCTTGGCACTGGTCATGTTACCCTGAGCCCAACTTACCAACCCGAGATAAAGGACATCGGTACCTTTGGTATGTGTTCTGGAACGGGGGGCCAAGGCGAGTGTTGGAGGGGTCAGGCGGGTGGTGGGCAAGTATTAAAGAACAAAGGTTCTGCTGCCCTTCATCCATATGTGCAGACACTCCGTGACCGGCTGATATTTGCTCTCGGACAGTCACACTCACCTGAATAAAGTACATGTGGTTCTTGTATGAGAAAGTCGCATCCACCACTCCTTCCAGCGTCCTCCATGTGTGACTGAGAGGCCACGCGTGCCACCCATCTTTACTGCTATCCACACGGAAGTACCAGCCACCTGGCAGGAGGGAGGAGATACGGCGTCATCAAACCTCTCCACGTCACCAAAACACAAGAACTTCCTGTGTCCCTTCCCAATTCTGTCTGTGAACTACACCTCCACCCTATGGTATGACGAAGAGGAGAGGGGGAGGCGTTCTCTAGTCCTGTCCTAGAGTGACAAAACTGCTCCTCCGCAGCACAGTGAGTGAATGTTGTCACCTGAGGACAGGAAGTGTATTACAGGCAGGATCACCAGGTGAAGATAAGGGGAAAAAAGGCTGAGGGCCCTAGTGATCTACTCCCACTCAGGACAGGAGACCTCTAGTGATCTACTCCCACTCAGGACAGGAGACCTCTAGTGTTCTACTCCCACTCAGGACAGGAGACCTCTAGTGATCTACTCCCACTCAGGACAGGAGACCTCTAGTGATCTACTCCCACTCAGGACAGGAGACCTCTAGTGTTCTACTCCCACTCAGGACAGGAGACCTCTAGTGATCTACTCCCACCCAGGACACAGTGTCTCTAGTGATCTACTCCCACTCAGGACAGGAGACCTCTAGCAATCTACTCCCACCCAGGACACAGTGTCTCTAGTGATCTGCTGGCAGTCAGCACAGCAATGGCGGATCTCACCTCGGAATGCGTAGGTTCGGGATTTGTCATCTGAGCTGAAAGCCTCGAAGGAACGTTTGCTGCAGCGATCTTTGATGGACATGAGGGTGGCGTTCTGGCGGGCGGCGTGGGCGTGTCCTGGGGGGGAACAGAAGCGTGCAGGGGGGTGAGAGGCGGCACCTCGGTGGGGTCACCACTCCGCCTGCCAACAACTAGAACTACGTTATCAGGAGAGCCGGCCATAAAATAAAAGGGACACTCCATCTCACCTCTGCCGGGGCACCGCACAAAGTAGTCTCGGGTGTCCAGCGGTCGGGGGGATAGCCGCTCTCCGGTCACTGGGTCAAATCTGGTGAAGTTGATGCCATTGAAGCAGTAGTATTTCTCCATCCATCTGACAGCCGATGTACAAGGTCCCAGGCCGGTCCAGGTCTTCTGCTTCACCGCCG